GTATGGGCTGACGACGGATATGGGTATATTACTGTAGCAGATATCTTATCGGCGAGACAAATACATATTCAATACTTTGGCAAGACTGAGGAAATGTCGAACGCTTGGCAGATGAGTGGCATGTTATTCCAGGAGCAGGAACATTTAATGCCATGATTGGCGCACATTTTGCCATCCGTAAGCATACCATCAAGATCAAATCCAACCACTGCAAGATCCAAGTATTGCATCTCGGGCCTACAACACTATGGATCATTCTGAAAAACTTCCATTCAACACCTCTGATCTGACGTCACAACCTGCATAACATGAATAAAAGAAATACTTTTACATATGCCTTGGCCTATGCTATTACATGTGACCAAACAAATTTTCTTCAAGTTTTTCATCTCCCACGAAGAGCGGCTAATTCCAAATCAAAAGATTATGCATTTTTCTTGAAGATTAATTTTTTATTTTTTATTTTCAAAGACACCAATATGGCTATTCTAGTAAGTGAAGTCCAGTATAGTAAGAAAATTTGGGGAGAAAAAGATGGCTATAGTATGTTACAACTTCATATGAGTCATTATTCATTTATGTAGACAAATATATGTAAATAAAATGGAATTAGTTATCCCTTCAATTCTGCCAACTTTCACTAGGTACAACCTGGAAAAATTATCCTTTCTCCACCTTTATTCTTTCTCATTACAACGGCTAATCTGAAGCTAAATTAACATCATAGTGTTAAAAATCACAGATATAGAGAACTCTAATTCACAGAGATTGAATTCAAGAGGCTTGACCTCCTTGGGGAACAATTCAATTTCCCACTCAAGTTGTCACAATCATTGCTCAGAGGTGTATCGGTAGAGAACAGGCCATCTTCACTATTGTTGACAGTGTTGCTGCCCCATTCACTTTTACTGAAAAGCAAGATTTGAGGATCAAAATTAAAAAGTTAAAAAATTACCTGATTTAGGAATAGTTGAACAGATTGAAAAAACAATATAACCTCATTTAGGAATCGCTGGACAACTGAAGTTGAGAAACATTCAATGAGAACAAGAGGGATTGGTGGATTTATATACACGTATGTGTGTATGTATAGATGCGTACACAGACAGAGTAGTCCGTCCATTGCTTTAATTTTGCTTTTTTCTTTTTTGCTTTTTTGTTTATTTAATAGTTTTGCCTTCTTCCTTTTGATAATTATTTCGTTTCATTGTTTTCTTTAAACCTTGTTAACATTTAGGGTTTATTATATAAATATATATGAACTATATAAGTTAATTCTACTATGTTAATGACATAAAATGTAACTGATAATGAAACATTTATTATTTTTATGGGATCATGAACAATCAAGTAGCTGATAATTATATATTATTTTTAGTATTGTTATAAAAAAAATTAAATGATTTTAAGGGATTTGGATACACTAAATCAATTAGATAACTTCCTATGAAAAACAACTTCATAAGATAAAAGAAAAAAATATTGATTGTGAAAAATATCTTATTTCAAGGATGCGCTACTACCTCACAACGCTCTCCCTCTCAAGTTTACTTTCGGTGGACTCTTTATCGTCCCCGAAAGTGAGACTAACGTCCAAAAGCGTATGGCCTTGGAAGCTTGGCATCATAGTGATTTCTTGTGTAGAAATCTAATACTTAACGGACTAGACAACACACTATATAATGTGTATAGCCCGGTTAACATGTCTAAGGAGTTGTGGAACTCTTTGGAAGAAACGCACAAAATGGAAGATAACAATACTAAAACTTTTATCGGTAAATTCTTTAGTACGATATGATTGACATAAAGTTGGTGGTTAATCAAGTTCAAGAGATTCAAATCCTTCACGATATGATGGCCGCGGGATTGATTGTGAACGTACCCTTTCAGGTGGCGACTATAATTGAAAAGTTGTCTCCTTTCTAGAACAACTTCAAGAGTTATCTCATGCATAGATACAAAGAGATGAAACTCGAGGATTTGATAGATGGTATTCAGATAAAATAAAATAATTGAAAGTCCGAAATATTGGTCAAATGGAGTGAGCTAGAGGCTATGGCAAAACTTGGCCGAGCTGAGCTCGTGTAAGAAGTGTAAAACAACTTTTCATGGCAAACCTAAATGGGACGCCAAGAAATCTAAGAGATGTCGTTACGATGGTGACGAACCCGGGTACCTTGCCGAATATTACTAACTTTTGAAGAGTGGTATAAGATAGTCGAATTTGTTGAGGACAATAAGACTTGTCAGAGATCGATATTTCCGTCGTGGTTCGAATACATATTTGATTAAAATTCTACTTTTATAACGGATAAGAACAAAAGTCACTTGACCCATAGGCACTGATAAATATTGTCCTACAACCCTATCTACTGAAGAAAGTATTTGTGGAATTAATCGATTTCAAGTGTTTAATGAACCGGCAAAGTGTGTGCTAAGAATGAATATTGGAGATCGCCCAAAACATCCACAAGAATCTCGTTTTCGAACCATTAATTGAGTAAAACTCGAATTTAGATTAATTTGTGATGTTATGTCGAAATATGATGCATTCTTAGCATAAGTATACTATAATAATGGCCATTATTGTAATTTATTGGTTTACGAAAAGAAAAAATAAGTTGATCTTATTGAGTGTTCTAATTTATGGCATGATAAATTATGATTTGTGAATTTTAACACTAGAAGTTGATGAACGTAGAATTGATTCATACAACAAATATGAAAATTGTTTTAAAATGAAAAGTGACAAAAGCATCGCATTAAACAGTTGCTTAATTCACTAGTCCTCTTAAGATAAGTCACTTCGGTAAGTGTGATTTAAGAGTTTGTGCGAACTCAAGTAAAAAATATATTGTAAGAATGCACAATGTTTTGTCATAAAACTTTTGTAGATTTAAACCACATAAGAATGATGTTGATGTTCAATGAAATAGTTAAAAGAACTAATCACTCTTGAGTAGGTGATAATTTCTTATTAAGCTAAATGCTTATGTGAGAAGCATTTATTTTGATAAAATTGCAAGCACCAGACAAAACGAAACTCCGTTTGAGTTATAAAAAAAAAAAAAGAAAAGCATTCGTACTTATACCTTAAAATGCGGGGGTGTCCGGGCATGGAAAGCACCATACGTACGTAGATATGAAACTCCATTTGAGTTATAAAAAGAGAAAAAGTATTTGTACCTATACCTTGTAATGTGGGTGTGGTCGGGTCAAGGTAGAAATATCTAAATAATGGCATGAAACGTTTGTTGAAATAATTTTGTCGAATGGTTTCAAATTTATTGAATGAAAATATAGGTCTATGAAAGTTCTTCCGACTCTCTGTGATCGTAAGCCTTATGTATACAATATAATGATCTTGGAATAATATCATGATGTGTTCATGAAATACCAAGATATTAATTTTGAGATGAAAAGGTTCGTGAAATTTTTGTGTATTTCTTGGATTGAGTATCTATAAGAGATTGGAAGTAATTGTTTGACACAATCTCATCATGTCAAAAGTATGGTTAAGAGTTTTGATGTGTTCGATAAACTTCCAACTGAGATGTTTGTAGACATGACACTACACATAGCTAAGCAAGTGAACTAAGAATGTTCAGGAGTAATTCGAGCGATGATTTTTTTATCATGCTAAATCGAGTATTGGATGAAAAACCATAAAGACTAAAAGTGACTACATGATCACTTTAGGTGCGTTGAATAGTGTCATAAAAGTAATCTAAGTATAAAGCTAGATCTACAATGACGTTTGAGTTATAAATTTGGAAAAAAGGCATGGAAAAAGCTAATGACTTAGAAATTTTTCTAAAAGATATTCCTAGGTGGAATAATTTTTGCTCATCGTGATGATTACTTGTGATTATCAATAAACATTTGGAAAAGCACAAAGTAGTTTGTACATTAGTAAGTCTAGATATAGACTTCAAAGACTTAATAAGAAAAATTATCTCGTATGGGGTAGTATCGGTTGACAATGTGATGAAAAATATAAACCTAACAGATCGTTTTACAATAAAAATGAAACAAGATAAGTTGCACAAACTGGTTAGAGGAATGAGTTTAATAAAAATCCACAACAAACAAACGGTCTTAGCGGTAACCCAACCATGAGAATCAGAGATCCGGAAACATTGGTTCATTGTGTAAACCTAAGTTTTGACAGTTCAACACTTGAATAATTTATGCTGATTTCTAGATCCGTCAAGTATTAAAATCTGCCTAACTGGTGAGGTTTTAAGTCAAATATTTTAATGATTCCTGTACCTAAGGGTGGAGTATAGCAGAATACTCTTTATAAAAAAATCACCTTTGTAAAAGTAAAAAGGTCGCTTCGATCGAACACTTACTAAACTGAGATATGGTCCATGGCCAAAATGGACACAACGTGAGAACAAGAAATTGTTAGAGCTGTTGTTGTGTGAGTACTATTGTCTTGGTGCACACAAATAGCCGGTAATTCAAAGCATCGTGCTACTAACCAACTAGTGTATCCGATAGTATTTCACTAAGGAAGATTCAAAGCCACAAGCTATCTATCCTGATGCAATAACAGTTCGTCATGACTCTCAAGCATTGCATACATGCATTAATTTCATTCATGTGGGGGATTGTAAGAAACAAATGGTTTTGCACCGATTTAACAATTCCATTTTTCTTAAGTAGAAGACTTATAAAATTCTCAAAACCATTCTAAGGTGAATGAGAAATTAATTCTAAGTGTTATATGTTGAATAACTGAGTTTAAGTAACT